CCTCCAGACCCTGCGCCGCCGGAGCAGAGCAGCTGGAGCCCGGGAGGGGAAGTGCCCGGCCGGCGGCTTGGGGTCCGGAGGCACGGGGGCTGCCCGAAGCCGGTAGCGCTGGCTCGGGCAGCTTTGGCTCTTAAACAGAGCCGAAGTCTGAGTCAGGGGAGGAGCAGAGGAGCCGCGGGAGAGGAAGTGCCCGTCCGGTATTTTTCCTGGACATGTTCGGCTTTTTGGCAATTCCCCCCGGACGAGGATTTGATTGCCGAAAAACCGGACGTATGGTAACCCTACGTGACTGGTGCCTGGGGCCGGGGGCGCAGCTCCAGCCCAGGGGGACACAAATCCGGACAGTGCCGGCTCCACGCAACGCGCTGGCGTCCACAACCCCCCCCCCGGGGCACCCCCAAGTCCTGCGCTGGCTGCCGAGCAGTGCCCAGAGACACCCCTCACCCAAAGGACAGGGCCCCGTGCCCCCCTTCCCCGACGGCTTGCTGCCTCACGGGGCAGGTTGGTCACGTCGCAGGGGCCGCTGGGAGTTGTAGTTCTCGGCCGCTCCCCTCTCCCAGCTCTCCCTGGAGCGTGAGGCCCGGCCGGACTACAGCCCCCAGCATGCCCTGGGCAGGAGCCGAGTGTCGCACCGAGATGATGTCACAGCGGGCGACCCACACACACAGATTCGGAGATCCTAGCCTCCCTATTTTCCCGGACAAGTCCGGGGAAATCCGGACGTATGGTAACCCTAGCATAGGGCCTCAGAATAGCTAGGGACAGCCCTGTCCAGAGGTGTTGAATTTATTCAAAGGTGGCTAAAGAGATATGAACTACGCTGTTCACATTTCTTCTACCCATCAGCAATTGCTGTGGTGTCCACGGGGGGTTTCATGGGAAGGGACCTGCTCCGAGAGACAGTCTCTGCGGGTTTGTCTACACTAGGGTGCAGGTTTCTCTCTCTCATTGTACAATCTGTGTGTAGACAAGGCAAGTGGTGGTTTCACCTCAGTGTAACTGGTCAAGAAGAATTCTGTGGGTTGGAGGCTGTTTGGGAAGGTTAACGATCACCTTGAGTAGCTACACTGAGGTGAAAGCATCACTTTCCTCATCTCCACTGGGACTGTATAATGAGATCACTGCCTTGTGTTTGCTATTGCATTGAAGAAGAAAAAAACACCCCTTCAACTGAGGTGGCCATGAGCTAAAAGATGGGATCTAAAGGGAGAAAAAGAAGACACCCCACCTTCGGCCAGGTCTGTGTCTTTGCTTTCTGTGACCTTCTAATGTAAGTGACTGGGGGTGGGATCCATGAAGGGACGTAGGTGTTACAATGCTGAGCATCACCCGCACCTCATTCTTAGGTGCTTAGAACATCACAAGAAGAACACAGCAACCCACACAGCCTGACTTAGGCGCCTAGTCTCCCGGCATGATGAATGGAGACAGGCAGGTGCCTTACAATGCCATCCACAAGAGCCAGCACGCTAGGTGGGGAGCTACCTAACAGCCAATGGGAAATGCTCACAACAGGGGTGTGTCCTAAACCGGGCTCCTCTGCCAAAGAGAAGCGCCTGAGGCTGTGTCCAGACAACAGCTGAAGTCAGTAGAATTCATGTTGCTCAGGAGTGTGAATAGACCAACCCCCGACTGACGTAAGTTACACGGACACAAGCGCCGTTGTGCACAGCACTATGTCAGCGGGAGAGCATCTCCCATTAACAGAGCTTCTGCTGCTCACGGAGGTAGTTTTATGATGGCAACGGGAGAGCGAGTTCACTTAACTATGTATTTATTCCTTTTTTATTTAATGTGTCCTCTTTAATATCTGACTTTAATGATTTAATGTTAATCAGTGTTATATTCACTATGAGGAAGTTTTTTTCCCCTCCTCCTTCCTGTTATCTAGATCAAGTTACAATGAAGATGTAACTCCAGAGCCTGCTCCCCTCTCCCTGGTTTTATTGTTTTCTTCTTTACTTTTTATGTTCACAAGATGGAATCAGGTAGGAATCCGCACTGTGTCTGCTGTTTCTGAGAGGATTTATTTAGGCCCCTGAAGTGTCTTAACAACGTGCTTCACTCAAAGTCAATGTAACTACTCACAGTGTATAAACTTAACCACACAGCAAGATCACCACCTTCATTATTCAATTTTGGCTCTGATTGTGTTGCTGCTGCATTATTTTATTTGCTCAGTGCCCAGGTCTGTTTGTTCACACATGTATTTTTAAAAGATTGTCAAGGATGCCCAAAGCATTGACTGGACACTTATTGAAGAGTTTAGTAAATAATAATAATTAATATGTAAATAAATTAACTTAGTGGGTTTCAGATGTAAAAAAGATCAGAGCCCAAATGTGTACAAAAATGTAATAACAACCAGAATATTTTGATGTCATGTGAGATATATATATATGTAAAGTGTTGGGAAGTTAAATTAATGTATTATGCTCTTCCCTCATTCACCTGCACGTCTACTAATGTTATATATGCCATCATGTGCCAGCAATGCCCCTCTGCCATGTACATTGGCCAAACCGGACAGTCCCTACATAAAGGAATAAATGGACACAAATCGGACATCAGGAATGGTAAC